TCGTCGGATATACTGAATCATCTACCCAACGACGCCGTGCTACCGGCTTCAGTTCCATCCTTCTCGGTTGGAGAGCCCAAAGTTAAGCTCGACATGCTTGATGACAGATTCATATTGGAACTCACGCTTAGCATCGAAGGGTACTTATTTTCACCATGCTTAGAATCTCCTAAAGGAAGACTTGTTTCTACCATTGCTTCAAGAAAATTCACAAACAGCTCAACGCTTTCTGCCGGATTGTTGTACTACAAAATCAGAATGGGCGTTAGTACCATCGGATTATCAATATTTCTACTAGTAAAAATTATAGGTGTGGAATAAGTTTGGGCTTTAGCTTACATTATTAAATGGACCTGCGAAACGCCATAGACCTCCGAATCCGCAACTTTGAAGGTAATGTAGCTGCTGTTGACTAGTATCCTCGCAAGCTATCATATTTTGGATGATGCTCCGTACTGCGCTTAAAATAACGTGATCATGGCATACCGTGATCACATTATTTATCTTGCAATCCAACAAGTTATATCTAAAACACAGCCAAGCAAAACCCAAAGGTTAACAGTTAATTCGACCCACACTTCACCACCCTAACTGAAAACAACTTTACAAAAACAGAAACGAATGAACACTTAATAATCTATATCGTTCCCACATAAAGTTGAACAAAAATAATCACATTAGTTAATTAAAAATAAACCAATTGGGTCTATACAAAATTGTGAATTCATGGGATTTAATTTTGTATTTTTGATACAATAAGCATACCATTTCGCGACCGAAACGTAACCTAAAGTAGCAGCAACAACATAAAAATGGAACTTGGGTGTTAAAGATGCGTCAACATCTATACAAGTGTTGAGTTGATCTTGGGACTCCGAAGGATTAGGGTCACTTAAGAACTGCAAGATTAGTTTGTTAATTGAAACGCTATGTGCTGGAAAAGAACAAAAAATACTAGAATAAAGGAGAAGATTAATAAGATTAGGGTGATGTAGCGCGTAGGTGTTAAGTATAGAATAATTGGAATAAAAACGTAAAGAGAATTAAAGGAAAAATATGTACATAAATATAAGGAAATTGTAATGGCAACTTACATAACTGGGAACACTCTTGGGAAGACAATTGTGCCTTCCGCCAAGTACTGATACAGAATCCTAGTGTCGGCCTCGTTGGTACTGTACTTTACTAAGGTGGCCAGTACAGTCAGGACTAATGCTTGAGTCGAGAAATCGGTCAGCACGTCCGGATCCAGAAGGATGTTATTCTCGTTACTTACGGACGCTCTCGCACTACGATTCTAAAATTTCCGAACATTATCAATCTTATCCCAGAACGCTCCGTGTATTACAGAAAAGATAGTAATAAATAAATGCAACAATTTTACAAGGCATTCCTCTACGCTCGATACATTATTGGAATAGCCAGTATTTGGAGAAGAAGTGAATGACTACTCCATCGAATAGTCCAAACCCGATTACATATAGTATACTTTAAAGAGAAATATAGAGAAAGAAAATAAGAAAACGTAAAAACTAGAGAAACGAAACGAAATTCGGAAGAGAGGAAACGGAAACGACAGTTCAGAGCAACTATTAGCAATCTGTAACTAACGATACTGCTGACCTGTCAACCATAGCCGCTGTATCGCTTCCTGAGTTGGTGGAAAATGTGGCTCAAATTTGCAATAATTAAAGCGCAGAACCATTACCAGAAGGAAGGACAGAACGAAAGAAACTAAAGTACAAAGTATACTATATCACGATTTCGCAACACCCAAATCTGCCTGTGCAATGATGTAAAGAATATCACAAATATTTACTGGTTTCTTTAAGATACACATAAAAGTCACGATGCTGCAATGTAAACTTGGAAGGTGTTCCCTCGCCAAGACATCCATGCAAGTGCACAAAAAGGCAGTTATATCATTAAGAGTACTTTATAACAATAGAAAAAAATCTCAAGTACCTAATGTTAGTAGCTGTTGAACAAATGTGTAACAATAATAAGATGTAAACGAAAATTTAAGAAAAAAGTAGATCAAAGAAGGTCTTTTTTTTATATTCTATAAAGAGAAAAATTACAGAACGTCCGCAGATGAAAATAATTACATTCATAGCTTATTACTAAATAAAATATATCTTTTTTAACCCATATGGGTTCTCAAATCTAAGAGATGTTTTCATTATAACCAGTGACGTGCGATAGATTCATATTTTTTTTTTTAATTTAAATAAATATATTTGTGCAAATCACTGATTATGTTGCATGTTATTTAAAAAAAATAAGCTATCTAAAACAGCATTTTTTCAATTTTCTGCAACTATATTTAATAAATAACATATTTATCATATTTTCAATTGGATTTTCTGAGAGTTAAACTTAAAAAAAATACTGATTTAGATTTGAAATATATATTAAAAGAAAAAAAAAATAGAGAAACACTCAAGATAGATTGTCTAAACCTAAAATTGTTGGAGAAGCTTTACAACATTGAAGTGTTTAATTGAAATATTTAAGTAGACCGGTTATTGTTGTAGTATGCAATTAGTGTTCTATTATGACTTTAAATGATAAAGCTCAGCATGCGTTTAATTGATTTTATTTATTTTTAGTATAGTTCGAGATTTAATTGTGAGTTAAAAAGGAAAAGTGTTTTTTTTTGTTTGTTTAAACCGTGATTTGTAATCAGTTTGCGAACCTATATGCGTTAAAAGTGAAATTTACAACAGACATTGAGACATGCTAACATTGTACCTTTGAAACGAATATAATGTAACATTAATCATCTGTGAACTCCCTGTATAAAAAACTGTAATTATATACCATAAAAAATAGTAATACATAATAGTAAAAAAATATGATTATATAAAAAAATGTACATACATATAAAATATATATGAAAAAATAGAGTATAGTTGAAGAGTTACCTTGGCAGTCTCATCGGGAGTTTTTTGTTCTTTGGTGGTTGGCACCGAGAACGAGCGGTGTGTTTTGGAGAGGATACGTGCACTCTGGTGGCCACCCCATAGAAGGCAGGCAGGCAAGACAAGCAGCAAAGAGTTAGTACGAGTTACCTGTACTTGGCACTCGAGGCATGGCACATTCAAGAACAATTCACAGAAGCAAATTTACTTATCTTTCACTAACACTTTTACATAATGTGTCAAGAAAACCAAAAGTGAGAGGCACAATGCTTAGGGGAGGATTCGTAAGGCAAACAAGAGTAAGATACAAACGCTACGAGTTAGTGAAAGATAAATGCTTGAAGAGTTTCAAATTTTAGGCGAAATATTTATAGATAGACGTAATTTTCGTACTTCAATATATATGTGTGTGTATATATATATTTATATAGATATAGTTATTATGTTTAATTAGATTTGGTTTGTAAATTGCATTTAGCAGGCAAGTCTTACTTTGGCTGGGGCCACAGGAGGACTTTGTTGGACAGGCACAGAGCTAGAACGCTGGGTGCGGTATAAGGGTCTTGCGAGGCCCCCGTTTGCCTGAGGCCCCGGACTCTGGGTCAAGTCTAAACTTCGCCAGCCCTTACTGGCTGCCGAATTCTCAACCTAGTTAGTAGCCTAATTACTATTTAACCTCATTATAAATCATTAATATAAGGCCTTGCGTGCACACCAGATGAACGGAAATTAATAGAACAGAAACAAAACCATGGAAACCAAAGAGACTACCCAAAAATCAATAAATAATTAACAAACAAATCTAATAAACCAAAAAAATAATAACTTAAAATTAATTAACGTGTTCATTATATCAAAATAAATCCGAAATAAATGAACGAAATATAATTAAATAAACCGTGATGATCATGATTGAACAAACCTAGAATACTACTTGTAAAATAGTACGTTAGGTATTAAAAATTATAAGAAAATCAATATAATATTTGCCATTGAACGATAAGGTAATAATGTATGTCAACTTACTTGGGGTACGATTTTATGTTGCCTTGCTTGTGTTAATGCGATTTGATCCAACACATCCCACGATTTCTGCCTCCTATTTGTTCCACTACCCGATGGTGTACTACCAGCATTTTGCTGATTATTACCTGTGATTTCTGCCAAGAAATTGTCTTGCATGTCTGGATCACTAATGGGACGCATATGTTTTATGTGGCATCTATTTCTGACCTCCTCTGACATCGTCACCAAAGCTTTAACAACATTAAAATCAAATAAGTTATTTTTGCTATTGAGTAATCATGATCATCATACCTGTTAAATATGCGATGCTATCTGGTGTGACTTCGAACTTGTCGCGCTTCTGAGGTTTCGCAATGATACTCAAAAGCATAGTCAACACCCTGGAAGTTCTAGAAACCGTGGTCGCAGTCGGATGCCTAAACCCTTTCAACAGATGCCCTACCAATGCAAAATGAAAATTAGCCTTAAAACTTAACCCAACCGCATGGTCCAATTGTTTAAAGTGCCATTCCAAAGGTTCTCTCGTATTCATCATAACCGATTCCAATGACTACAAACAGAGGAAAATGATATCATAGAACTACATTGTAAGTAAAGTTACTTACCTCTTCATCAAAGGTACCCTGACAATCTAGTGTGTGTAAATTCTGCTCTAACAAAGCTAATCCTGAAGCATACAAGGACGCCTCATCTAACTGTAAAACTGAGGTAGCTACCCAGAATAATGCTTTGTGAATCGGCGAATCTGAGTGCAAAAGCGGTTGAAGCCTTGTTAAGCACATCACCAGTGCCTCAATGAGAACCATATCATTGTAACATTCCAAAGCTTTCACTAAGATTCTTAATAGCTGTTTCATTTCCGAATCGCTGATGCTCTTGCTAATGCAGCCAAATACAATCAAAGCTCTCGGCTGCAGGGCTGGGTTGTAGCAGAACGCAAATCCCTTGGCCAGCGACATCCAGCTTGTTAGCCAATCGCAGTTAGGGATATCACGCATGCAAGCTTCCATTATTTCTAATAGAGCATCGGTTATTACTTCCAGAGATGTCAGGGATATAGTTTCCCGATCACCTGTAGCTCCCGTAAATGACCTTTCCGAACCGACCCTAGGATGATTAATTTCAATTCAAAAATACTGTTAAGTTGTATATTCACCATCTTTCATTCGGGTGTCTGTAGCTGGAACGGAAGGCAGTAACCGCAGCCGATTTTACCTTGCTTATGCCGAAGAGCAAATAAAACTTTGGTAGTGAGAATTCGTCAAGGGACAGGCGCAACACGCGTTGCGTGTCCTCGGAAAATTGTGGCTGTGTACATGTGCACAGCGAATGTATTATGTTTATAACTAAACCGTGCGTCGATGCTCTCATGCTTAGTGATCCTGAGCATACAAGGAATGTAACGGAGTGGAATAAATAAGGTAAGTGTCTGGCCACATCTAAGCAATTGTTAAAAGACAGCATCAGCAAATATCGGGCTAAAATAGCTATATCATCCCACATCATGTGTTGTTCCAATAAATTTGTTGGACTTTGACAGGTTCTATCAACGACCTAACAAGTACCAACAATTGCATCAGTTATAGTATCAGTTATAGTATAATATACACTTACCCTACAAAGTCTTCCAATGACCTTCTTAGCAACGAGCTGGACGTTAGCAGCAGCTAAAGCAACAGCTGTGTCTGCCATAATTTCTACCATGGGCGAACCTAGCCCAGAACTTACTGATCTATGTATAAACTTATCTAAAACCATATCAATTAAATCAGGTACTTGTCCAATGGAGCCCCATATTTTTGCTTGTATTGATGGGTACATCTCCACTTCTTCAATGGTCAGCAGTATTAATTTCTCTAAAATCTGTCCCACCTGCTTCTGACGTTTATTCTCATCGAAAGGCTTGCAAAACCTACAAACAAAATATATATCATTTAAAAAATATATAAATAATGCACAGTTCATACTTGACTAGATTAGCAAGCCAAGGTGTCATGTACTCCAAACATAGGTGTTTCAGTTCAATAGTCGAAACTCGAAAACCTTGGATGCATTCTTCTAAAAATTCCAATGTAAGGTGAGGTTCATTGGTGGCCAGTTTCTCGGACACAGACTTTATGAAAATTGTATTATTGGAAGGTATGCATAGGCCAGATGTTTCCAGGAGTTGACCTTCGATTTTGAGATCAAAAGTGGCAGTTAGAGCGCACAACTGATTGTAAGCAGCCGTGCGTAGATTAGGATCGGATGATCCCAAATTTAATAATGCCATATTTAAAAGCGTGCCTGGAACATCTTTAGGCCTAATCTTCTGATGCACAGTAACCGAATCCTGTAAAGATGCGACTGTCTGTTAGTGCGTTTAGTGGATAATGTTCTCCTAGTTATTATTCTGTATTTACCGGTTGACTGAGCTCCCATCGATTTCTAATATGAATAACAGCTTGTACTATACTATCACAATCGTTATGTATAAAACTAAGAGGTCCACTCTCATTTGCAATTGTTAATGTGAACTGATTATCATCTACTAAACAAACTTCTTCTATTTCCGAAGCGTAATATACGTCATTTAACAAAACGGCATGAGACAACACTTTGGTTTTCTCGGATGAGGTAATTTGTATTGCTGTGGGACCCACTTTTATTGCAACTTTGGTGTCTTTGTGAGATAATTTTAAAGCGTTTGAGAAAACTTTCAAATCTTCATCTAAACTCAACGTTGCTCCAGGCAGTTTCTGCTGCTCGTACTCTATATACTCATTCAATTTATTTGGATTATCGACAAATATTAATTTCCTATTATTCTTTAGAGGTGCCAAGAGGCGGTCATGAAATTTGGTATATTCACGGACCCAACTACTGCAGTTGTATATGTATGCAATATGTATGTTCTCATATGCAAGCTTAGGAAGAACGTAGAACCACTTCTGAAGGAACTCGGTGCGAAAACGGTTGTCCGAACAGGTATGAGTAAAGTCGACTACCAATTCGAACGGAGTATGGCAGAACGGTTTCAATGTTAATATAACGTGGTATATTAACAAGTCACCGTTGGTATCCCCGATTCTGAAAAGATACTCACTAAGAGAACTGTAATTATACTGAACACTTTGCATATCTTTGATTAATATTACTTGTATCTTCTAGCGATGTAGTAGAAGACTGGATGCCCCAACCTGCTGGATCCCGCTTGATAGAATATGTTGAGCGATTTCAAGGACTTGAACTCCTCCTTCTCGTGCATGTTATGTTTTACCATCAATTCTTCGAAATGCGTAGATGACATATCAATAGAACTCCATCTGGTATATGAGGCAAACAGCAGACTGAAAAATTGAGATATATTTCGAAGGAAATAAGTATAGAATAGAACGAAATGAAAAAATCTTACTTCGAATCAATTGGTTTATGTTCAGGTGGACCTAAATAAGCTAAAAGAGTTGCCATTTTATCAAACGGCCTTCTGCCAACTGCTTTATGATCTCTGCTGCTCGATAGATAATCTCCAATCTTTTCTTGGTGGTTCCACAAAAGTCTGTGCAACGCCAGAATATTTGTATCGCTAACAAAAGACATCGAATGCGAAGCATCAACGCTTTCACAATCAGATGCAATCTGAATGAAGAATCTCCGTCCAATTTCAAAATGCGCTTTGAGGAAATCGTTGAAATAAATCATATGTTGCTCTTTGCTAAATTCTACGTGATTTGCAATGTTTTGTAAAATCTTTGACATTAACATTAAACCACGTTTGGCGAATGTTGGTACTTGTATATCAATGACTCCCATTTCCTGAGGTGAAACGATAGCTGGATTGATGAAACGTAGAAAAATCACAGTTCCCACAGCTCCAATGTTATTTTGCGGAAATTGGGGGAATCGCTTACTCAGTACTTGGTACAGACAATGACACATTGATCGTAACTGAGCTGGAAACTCGTTAGCTGAGCTCACGATCTCGTCGAACACTTTTTGTGTCAGATTTATTAAATTACTTCGATTCAATTCGATGTCTTCCGCTGGATTAATTCTGGCGGGATCAACTTCGTAACTCTTATCATTATCATCCAATAATGAATGAATGAGAGGATTTAGTAAAGTCTGTAAGTAGCCAGCGCCGTAGATTTTGAAGCAGAACGCCATTATTTTACTTCCCAGTGAGTTTCCTCTGAACAAGGTTTGCATACAATCGGATACTTCCACTTCGCGATAAAACATATTCCAGAGCAACGGAGATAACAGATGTTTGGCATCAAACAGAGTAACAAATACTCTAGCCAATTCATCCATTTGTGAGGTAGTTACTACATTGGCTAAAGCCATGGCAATGGGCAATTCACCCTTGTCTGATATCATTGTGACCAATTGTACTAATTGCTCAAATCTATCAGCGAAAACAGTCTCTGCCAATGTATCAAACTCCGTTCCTTGCTGTAATATTTTAGTTAAAACTTCCATAAATGCAGCGCGTGTTTGTAAATCTCTATTATATCCTAAATCTAAAAATAAAAAAATAATAATCAAATCAATTTCTGTTATTATATGTTTTATACATACCAATTGAATGCATCAATCCACTATCTATATTGGCCGACAATAAATTTGACATAGCCTGGATTGTTGCATTTCTAAGCGTATTTAGTTTACCGACATTAACCTGTTGTGTGGTTACGTCTTTATCAACCTCTACTGCTTCCGAACAGTCATTCAGCAAATTCATGAACAGAGTAAAATATTTTAAGAACAGTTGACTTTTCGCTTCCATTAGGTCTCCTCTATCTGACTCTTCTGGCTGTAATGGCAATCCTCTCAGAAGCGCGGCGACAGCTTCCATACACGCTTGATCCAAATCCCGAGTTACGGCAGCCACATCTCCAGAACACGGAGGTGAAACTTGATGCGACGTGCCCATCACCCAATCAGTCAGATATTCTACTAACTTATTTCTGAATTTCATCTCCTGGCGGAATGCTAGATCATCCCGCCTCTTCATCATTGCTTCGACTAACTGACAAAGTTTCGTCTTAATGTGGATGGCATGTACCGTCATATCTAAATGACGAACGTATCTGACTATCGACAACATCATACCCTCGATGCTTGTTACCCCAAGGTGCTCTGAAGGCTGGTCGTTTTTATTATTATCTAAAATATTTTTCATTATAAAAATGATGTGCTCGACGAATTGAGTATTGCATTCCGAGACGATGACTTGGCCTTGCTGATCGAAGAACTTGTCGACGATGTTTCTTGTTTGTTCAAAAAGTATTGGATATAAGGCAGCAGACATTTCATTACCGACAAGTTCTTTGACGGTCTTCTGAATCTGTGCGCCAAACTTCTCGTTATTGCACACGAGCAAACGTAAAAGCAAATCCACGAATCTAAAATATATGTAAAATAAGCATGTGTAATTCTTATATAAGTACCTATCCCTACTGCGTTACTGGGCAATACTGCCGCTGTTGTTCTGGTGTTGGTGCCGGTAACATACCGAAGCACTTCTTGCTGTCGGTGGCCGTGTAAGTACTAATTGTGGTCATTGCACATATTGCTGACGTTGACGTGGGGTTAGGTAAGTTGGACGATGACATCGTCGAACTTCTGGATGGTGATTTGCGCTGAAGGCAAACACCACCCAAGGCACAAAGAAATCCAGTCATATTTGCCCATTCATTAATCTGCTCCTGGAACTAGTTCCATATACATAAAACAATTCGGGTAGGTGAGTTGGCTTACTCCTGAATTATACCTCAAGCTCGTTTTCAGAATTTTGGTGCGAGGCACGCCTTTTGCCTCCTGCTTTATGAAACGGTTCAATCTGACCTTCTTCGCCCTTCGCTTTCGGATATGATGCAAGACTTTTGCACGTTGCGTTCCAATATAAAAACGTCTCCTCCCATGCCGGTTGTACACCATTAATACAGTGTTCGATTTTCCTCAATATCACCATTATTCGTTTTTGCAACAAAGCCCTATCTGTATTGCATAAAAATACCAAACTATGAAAAAAATCTCAAATAAAATAACACAAAAAAGAAAACGTATATACAAACAATATCAAGTCATGTTAAATAATATTAGTTTGAACTTAATCATTTGTTGCTGTTATATATAATTGTTCGATGTTCAATTATAATTCAATTTGAATTAAAATAATACAAATAAAAACACTTACGATTGTTTTGTTCTGGCAAAGACTGGCGTGAATCACCTGCTAAGAATTAAACATATACATAAAATAAAAAGAATGGATTAAATAATCAGTTGCACATTGAATTTTCGTTTTTTTAAATGATATACAATTTCACGATATTTGTTACCTGGTGATAACCCAATGGTTGCTTGAGCAAGATCCATGTAAGCATGGTAGTTTGGTACCAAATAGGTTACTGTCACTTCATCAGAACCACATCGAATATCAGCCTCTTGACAAAGTAGTGCAAAGCATGTCATTGCGACCATAACAGCATCTATATCGATACTCCATAGATACATAAAGAATACGACCTAAAAAAAAATGTTTTAGAACAAATTTATTGGGGAAGGTATGTTGCTTAGACTTACTTCTAATTTGATATGTGCCTGTTTGCAAATCGGTATCTGACTACCAACATTAGCGTATTCTTTATGTTTCAATAAGAATGTATTACGGCAAATTAAAATTTCGCGGAGCCATTTCAAAATGTCAGTGTAGTTCATAATTTGATGCTGGATGAGCTTTTGTGAAATGGAAAACAGAACTTGCGAACTGACATCCCAAAAGGTGTTTATTGGAGCCTCGGGGTTCCAGACCTCGATCTTTTCAGGCTGATGCAAAACCAGTAAAGCTTCCATTGCTTCATGCGCTACATCAGTCATAGTAGGCTGGTGTACCAATGAAACCAATCCATTGATGAGTTCCAAAGTGGAAATCTGAATTTCATGGCCAGCATTTCCCTGCAACAAAGTATAAAAAGTAATTAGGAAAGGGTCGGTTGAAGGTGTGACGATTTAGCTTACGTTTAGCATCAACATGGGATCTGCATGGATCAACCTAACCATATACAGGAGTAGGTTTTTATGGCCTGGAACCTCCTCAGCCCGTTCTTTAAATTTAGATTGTGAATCTTTGCCCTTGAGAGCAAAGGTCTGTATCATTCTTAATGGTGTATGGACGCTATAACCTTGCGCGACTTTATTAAGAGTATCTGTAAACAAGGCTCGCAGTTCTGATGATTTCGTGTACAATAACTCTATTTTGGGCCACCACATGAGCCTTGGTTGTGTAACTATCCTATACAAAGATCTGACTAGTACGAAGTGGTATATTGGTTGGGAGTTCACGTTCAGACATGCTGTCAGCGCTTCATTGTTGTGAGGTTTTATACGAAAGCAGGAGACAAAGCAATCTATCATAAGATCCATGTCTTGGTAGAGGTAGTTCTGTCCGCGTGAAAAAACTTTCGTTGGATTAAATAATAATGCCTAAAAACCATTCGATGTATCACTGAAAACGACTTTGACAATAAGCACGTTGACCTACCTTTAAGTCGTTTATTATACTTTGAACCAGAGTAAATGCAACATTATTAGTGTCCAAGATGTTTATGTAAGTTGAGGCTTTACATAATTTTACACAGGTAACGGCAGCAGCTTCTGTTAATTGTTTGCTCGAATTGTTGTGAGGAGCAATACCACGTCTGACGGAGTCTATGAACGTTTTCTTTTTGCTATGTCTGGGCGAACACGGGCCACCAGAATCGGCATTTATTATTTCTTGAAGTACTTTCTAAAATTAACAATACAATTTACATTACGTAATTATTATAATCACATCAGTGATTTATTTGAAATTTATTGAAAAATGCTCTCATCTACATAGTAATTCTTTCCTTATGATACTTTTCAAATAATTTCATTGATGATTCATGAATTCAAGGTCAATCAATACATCTTCTAAACAAACTGCATCATTCTTACAAAGAACAGTAATTCATTAATTATGCTACTTTTTAAATAGTTTCATTAATGTTTCATAATATAAGGTCAATTACATATAGTATAGAAAAACAGTGGCCAAATAGTGGCTCGCGAGCCGCATGTGGCTTTTCAAGAGTTTTGTTGTCGCTCAACTATTAAATAAAATATTATATATATATATTATACATTATAATCCAGGTTTTTTTTAAATTTTTATACCAAAAACTTTAAATGCGGCTCCCAGTATTTTCAAAAAGTCTGGCCACCACAGGTATAGAATATCAATCAATCAATATATTATAGTATAATACGAAAAAGCATGATAAGCTACAGCTATGGTATTTCTAATTTTCTGAATTAAATATTAATATATTATATAGCTATAAATAATAAACGTAGCAAAATTACAATTGAAATACTAATTGATTAATTAAAAATCACATATCGTGTAGTTAATTAACATAAATAAACAAATAATTAGCTTTGAACTACGCTAATAACTTATTATTATTATTATTATTGCAAATGCTCATTTATATAGAATAAATAAACAAAATATGTCACAAATTTGTTATTAGTGACCGTGACCTTGAACTCTCCTAACAAAATTGAATAACAATACTAGTTCAATCCGCGACATCTTACGTAAATATTCAATATATTCTGTGAGTTGTCCCATGCACCAAACAATTGAATAATTCAAACTGCATTTGTATTTAATGTTCTGGCATGTAATTAGATACACGTGTATATAACATAACCGAAACTTTTGTTCAATTCAAATAATGTTTAAAGTAATCAATCGTTTCCAGAATGAATTTGCATCACCAATGGAGCGAACATATTAAGAAAATCGATAGTCTATATTAAACCTTTTCAAGATTGCCCGTGCATCTTCATGAAGATGCGTCAATAAGGACGTAAAAAACAAAATATAAGAGAGAAAACATAAGCAACCAACCAACAAATCGATATTGGTAAAACGTGCGCAATTATAAAGAGCGAAACAAATTATTTATAAGTGAAATTCAATGCTTCAAAGGAAAATCGGGAAATCGAAATTAAATGGATATCCATTTCCAAGACCGTAAAGTGTTTTGCGGAATCTCATTTCGCTGGAAAGGATGTTTGAATTTACTACGAGCTCGACGGAACGAAAAAGATTTTAATTATATTTACACACGAGCCAATCGATATTACGATTTCCTCTCTGAACAAACAATATTTGTATAATTACATAAACAAAACGAAAAATTAATTAACTAAAGTAGACATTACGGTTTAATAATGCTAATACCAATTGAATTACTTTACTCGGCTGGTATGACTCAACATTTGATATATTAGTGCTCGGGCGACGTTATGTATTTTATGTGTTCCTCTTTCAGTATTCTCTCAGAAACCCTAAGCCGCATAATAATTACTTTAGATTTTAGGGCCTCGTGCTTGAAGGGATTGATCTTATCTATATTTATTAGGTCCCTCATCTTTACTACTTTAATTTTACTTTAAAGATTATTACGTGCTTTATATTAATTACAATATTTCAAATTTGTTGTTTTTATATACTTTAACAGTATGATCAGCTTAAGCCCAAACGGTTACAAAAATATGAAAGTTAAAAATTAAATTTTCATCAATACAAAAAAAAATAAAGACTTATTTTCAAATGTTAAAAAGTTGTAATTTTTAATTTTTAAATGATGAAAATGTTATAAATTGTATTAAAAAATTAAATTGATATAAAATGTTTCAAAATAATTTTTATTATTTTTTTTTGTATGAAGTTAAAATGTACGATGAATAGCTTAAGAATTTTGAATGAAGGTTATTATTATCATTCATCTTTCATCATTCTATATTTACGGTAGAATATTTCCCTCCAAGAGAGGGAATATTTCTTTACGTTCGAGTAGTTCTTTTTATGCTCTCGCATCGACAATGGAACAAGATTATTAAGGCTCGTATTTACTACGCTTATTTCTTGGAATGAATGTTTTTCTGCGCTGCAGTGAACTCTAAAAGACCTATGAGATAAAAAGCAGTCATGTCAAGTATCAAAGTAAAACATTTTTATTCAATTGCACGTAAATGCTATTTTCTATACCGTATTTTATTACATATATATTTTATATAATAAAATATGTTTGTATATTTATGAAAAATATTACTACTGTTTTGACATATAATAGAGCAATATAATATAGTTTGTGTATTTATGCTTGTTTTATTACAAGCAAATAAATATTGTAAAATGTTTCAAATATGTACAATACTATCGGCTTTAAAACTGCATAAATAAAACAATATTTGTTTTTTTTTCTATTTAAAATGTGTTTACCTTTGTCTTGTACTTTAAATTAAACTCTGATGATTGAAAGAAAAGCAATATGTAAAAAATAAAAAAATATTTGTATAAAGGACTTACAGGTGATAAGATGAGGAGCATGATTTGTAAAGGCCACACAGCAGCTCTTCCTTTCTTATTATCGGCAAATGTATCGAGTATATCAAAAAGCTGTTCACAGCATTTGGAAAGTTCTTCGTTAGGATTGGTGTTCAGTTCGGAGAATTCGTAGGGGTAGGTGTCCATCCAGTTCCAGATGGCTTTTTCGAGGGAGTTGATTAAAACTAAATGTGCAGACTTCTTTAAGAGACGAAACTTTTGGATAGCTTCTGGAACAAACGTAATCGTATATAGACAAACAGCGTGGGCGACCTCGAGAACGCATCCATCCGTTACCATTAAATAATTTGGTGAGTCGCGTAACATCGACATTGATATGTTGAATCAACTCTATATCGCTGTAATCCGGGTTCTCGTCCGGACAAGAAGCGAGTTCCTGAAGTTTGGAGGAGATTCTGCTGAAGACCGAGTTGAAGAAGTTCGAGCTCAGAGCGAACAGCACCTTGCTAGCCAACAGCTTCAGGCGATGAATGTAAGCGTTGTCATTGGACATATCTAAAAATGAGTGGGCTATCCCAGAAAGGATGTAAAAAGGTCCTTAATAGAAGCTTAATGCATGCAAACCTAGGAACGTGCAGATCTCCTTCAGAAGCGATTTAAGATTTTGATTCTCCTCCATGGTAAGAGATATGCAGTCTTTTGATTGTATGCTGAAGCATTTCTCTAAAGTCTCCAGTACAATGTAAAGACTATCATAGTAATTTCTCTCCAGGTCGCCTGGCTGCTGCCTCTGTGTATTTGTTGTGCCGGTTTGGTACTATATCAAAACGATATGAATGTTACTTCTTTTTTAATTATATTTTGCAATCGACAATCTCACCAATTCGTGGACTCTTTTTAAAACTTTGACGAAGCCTTCGAGAACCAAAGCAAAACGATATTTTGATATTTGAATGATACACATTTTGTTTTCTTCCTCGTTTATCCGAGAATGGGTGGTCGGTGGTCCAATTCGGCATGGTAACTAAAACGTATAAAAAATGCATGCTGCTGGACCATTCCCTAATCGTATTGAAAAATTTAAATTTGTTCCAATACGTTTGGAAGATATGTTTTTTCTCTTCGCCGGAAATTGTTTTTTGCGTATTTTAAGAAGGGAACAATGAAAGGGAAAGCTTCGAAAGGAAAGTTTTTCCTCAAAGGGGGAATTATATTGATTTAAAGGTGTGTAAGAGATAAAACGCTCATCTCTTTGATCTTTTCGATCTCGTTCGTCCGTGCTTCTCTTTTTTTCGCTATGTGAGCGTGCGTGTGGGTATGGTTGGATATATGATTGTGCGAGGACTATGATCGACCATGAAAAGAACTGACCTGCTCTTCGAATCGCACTATCAATGTGTTCGCCCATTCTCCGGGCTTTTGTGTTGACATTTTCGTAAAACACTTAATATTACATTATTATTCAATCTTGAGACTAGCGGACATTGTAAGAATGGCTGCGACTCGACACCTCTGGTCGGGGCCCGGCGCATGCGCCCTCTGAACTCTGCCGGATGCACTACCCCGCACCGCACTACACAGTACGACAGTAACCGAACGACGGGTCGGGCGGGACACGAAGAGGGACAGATGTGTGGGACGGAGTTGGACCGTCGATAGGACTGGTGGATAGAATGAAGACGGTGCTCTGCATCAGCGCCACCCCCGCATAGTATCCTTGATATTGAACTACATTACCTACGCCCACGCGCGACCCTACGAACGTCCTTAAAGCCGATCCTGCACCTTTAAAACAGAGACCGGCGTTCGCATTACATAATAAATGAACCCGGGGACGGCCACGGCCTCTTCTCGAACCTCTGTATACACCATGTATACCTGCCGCAACAACCCTTCGCGAACAATGGGACACGCAAAATTTACACCCGCGACATCGACACACTAACACGCATTCAAACACTTTCGTTTCTCAATGCGCCGATATCTGGGTCATTTTATTACGTTACTAGTTCATCCCCTTTAGTTATGTTTCAACCCTTTCATATTTGACATCACATTTATTTTATGTTGCGCCCATTACTCAAATTACGTTTCAAATTCATTACTAACTTTTAATTGGCGAACATATTTATTTTAATTACCAAATCATATTATTGGTAATTCGCTTTGAAAAATATTTATTATTTAATTTTGTTTTGTACCAAAAATAATTTATTAAAATGTTACTATTTATTCCAGTTACATACAATAACAATACTTAAACAAATTCTCTTTATAAATCCACATAATTTATACTCAGTTTCGAACTAATCCACCTAATTTTAATATTTATTTATCAAATTAAAATATAAAGTCCAAATAACACCTATCATTTGTGTAATCACATCAACGTTTGAAACAAAACTTTTTTATACTAGTATACAATATATATATAGAGTTCTACTACAGTTTACGAAAGATATTCATGTCTATTATATGAATTAGTGTGGGTGTACTATTACATTAGTTACTAATGCATGTAAACTCTAATACTCAACTTAGTGACAGAAACATATATTAATAAAGATTAATTTACTTAAGACACTATATGGAATATTAAGAAACAGAATAGAAACAATTTATTTATTGTAATTATTTTGTATTTTTTTTTATAATAATAGTATTTATTGCAATAACAAAAATACAAAATAAAACCATAATAAAATATTAATTATAAAATGAAAAGTCGTTCGTGTTTATTATATTTTTTTGTACAAATTTTATTTAAAATCAAAACAATTTTCAATATCAGGAACATATTGTTAATTATAATTTATAATGTAAAAGATATTTTATATTTCAGAAATTCGAAAATTCGAATTTATATTTGCAGAGCTTTGTACAATTAATTAAATTCGTAGAAACTTAAGTACTGAGACTGATTAAAACTTTTATTTTTAATTTCTTTAATCAGATACTCATTAAAATTAAGTAGCAGCTCATACAAATCTGACCTTATTCCGGAATCTATTACTCTTTCAATAGCACTGATGATTAGAGCCTGATTCAATTGAACACCATCTTCTTTCATCTTGTTGACAATATAGGCCTTGAGCGTATCCAAAATATCAATGAAATTGTAATCATTCATCGAACTAATCCATCCTCCGAAGATCTTCAATTTACCTGTAGCCTCAAGTCCCAAATGAATAGCACTCCTAGCATTTGATGCATAACTCAATTGAATGTAGTTATCAAAAACATCAATACGGTGCTGTTCCAGTATAATAGGATCACTTCCATTAACCATTATGATGTTGGATAACGCTTCCAAGAATTCTTTGAAAGATTGCAATGAGAAACTTAGGTGATCAATCAGGATTATTG